CCTTCCCGGAAGTGAACAACGATATAATAGACCGTTTGTCTCCTGCGCGGGGCTCGTTCTCCCTTTCCTAAATGCGTTATACCGGAGCGCCCCGGGGCGGGGCGGGGCGGACGGGGCACCCCGTGGATTTTATGACGTCTAGGCTCGGCCCTACCGACCTGCCCCGTCGGCGTGCGCGCGCGCGCTCACACACACACACACTCACTCTCGGAGCTCCTCAAAGGCCACCCCCGCCGCACCCATTCTCTCCTCTCTCGGGGACCTGGAGCAGTTTTAGGAGGCTGGCCGGCGGACCTCTCTGGGGACACTAGTTATGCGCATGCCATTCCGTGTGTGCGGGCGCGTATGCTCCCCCCCCCCTTGCCCCCCGCGTCCCTCACGGCGGCAAATGGGATTAGGCGACACAAACGGACTGCCGGGCTGCGGGGCAGTTCCGGGGGGGTAGGGGGCAAAAGGGGAGCAATTGAGGGGCGCAGGGGGCATTCAATTTACTCTTTCCTTACTGCATGGTGTTTGTCGTGTTGAATGATGAATCTAAAAATCTAACAACACCCCTTCCCCTCCCCGACCAGGGCCCTCATACAGGGAGGCCGTGCCCTCCTCCTCGAGCCTTACGTTATGGGCGACGTTGTGCGTGAACTTACGCGTTTAATGGAGCTAGAGGTGCTATATCCAGTTAAGAATTGGGCGTTTCCACGCTTAGCGCAGCGCGCGCTCACGCCGGCGTGAGGCGGGCGAGGGGCAGGGTGCGGGGAGGCAGCGGCGGAAGAACTGCTAACCCTCTTCGTCCCCCGCTTCCCCTCGCGCCCTCCGCGCTCACGCCAGCGTGGGCGCACGCTGGGCGTGGAAACGACAAAATTCTTAACTGGATACAGCAAGGGAAAGCGGAGAAGAAGAATGCCCGTGGGACGACCAAACCAACACTCCCTATGCTGTCATAAAATGGTGTTTTCCGTTTTCTTGTTCGCTGCAAGACTTTTGAGAACAGTTGATTGATTGTTTGATTGAATGGTTTATTGTCAACATGTCAGTTGGGTCGAAAACTGCCAAAAATTTCCGGAAAATAACGGAAAACTTTCAAAGTCTGGGAAATTTTCCGTTTATTTTCGAAATTATCCGGAAACTTCAAGTCTTCCAAATCTACAGAACAGAGTTAGTGTAAAAATTTAAAGTTTCATTTCAACATTGCGGGAGCTCGGCGCCTGCGAGACTCAGGGTAGGCCAACCCGCAGCCCACGCATGTCCTGCAGGCGAGATGCTGCCTACCCACCAGGCGCTATGAGAGCTCGCATTGGTTAAAAAAAAACAGGTCCGACAAACGACATAGACCCCCCCTCAAAAGGGTTTCTTTCATGATTTTTCATTTAAATCGTTCCGATATCCATCGATCGGTCCAGACGATGCATGTTGTTGAGGTTTCTCCCATCATCGTTCTGCCGCAGCAGTGCACCCGCAGCAGCAGGTGCGTGAGGCACTGCGTCCCCACCCGCAACACCCCCACCGCCGCGAGATGCAGCTGGCCCTCATGCTCCTGGGCGGAGCGCTCCTGAGCGTCGCGGCCGTCACCAGGGTACACGCCGACGACGTCATCAACACCGTGGTGAGCGCCCAAATCAGTTTCTCTAAATAATAACGTAAACTCACTGTAAAAAGTTTCCGATATTTATTTTGTATTTAATATTTACAAAATATGTTGTAAATGTATGACACCCCATAAACTTGATCAACGATGAATTCCAATGAGAAAATTACGTTGTGCTTGAAATTTCACAATTTTTAATCGATGTAATGGAAAGTTTTCCCGTAAAACCCAGTCTCTTAAAAAAAGAACAAAAATCTATTTTGTTTGTGGTTTGAAGGATATGGACACCTACGATGACGACCGGGCCAAGCGGCCGTTTTGCAACGCCTTCACAGGTGAGTGCATGAGGGCCTTACTGCAGGGATTCGTAAATTATTTGACATGGTTGTTATTGATGTAATTTTTTTGTTAACTTATTACTTCATTAACTTAAAAAAATCGCACACTTTACAGGGTGCGGCAGGAAGCGCTCGGGGCCCGCGCCGCTGCCGGTCTCGCGGCCGCTGCGCTCCGACGATCCGATGGCCACCCTGTTCGACCTGAACTCGGAGCCCGCCGTGGCGGAGCTCAGCAGACAGATCCTGAGCGAGGCCAAGCTCTGGGAGGCCATCAAGGAGGCGAGCCGGGACGAGGGCCGGCGGCGGCACAGCTTGGAGGTGGGTACGCTGTACGCGGCCCACCAGGACGGCGGCGACGACGTCGTCGTCATCGTCGTCACGCGTTCAGGATGTAGTTGTCGATGACGCCCTCCATGGTCTCGTTGTACCGCCGGCGGAAGTAGGGGTCCTCGTGGTACAAGCGGATGATGGCGTCGGTCCGGTCGACGTGCATGTGCTGGTGGAACTTTTCCGCGTCCTCCAGCAGGGGGTCCATGAGCGAGCCGGGCGCGAGCGACAACGGGTTCTCGAGCGCCATGAGCAGCAGGCCGTACTTGCGCTGCTTCTGGGCCACGTCGCTGAACTCGCTCCACGGGAGCACCTGCAGCAACCAAAGCGGCCGTTCAACGCAGTGGTTGGGTTAACACGTTCCCTGCGGCATGACCACTATGTGGTCAGCCTCCCCATGTTAAATCATGGGGACCAAAAATTAGCCGCGGTAAGGTAATGCCTAGGGTTGGAAGCCCTGGAAAGTTTATGAAAAATTTCAGGAAAATTTCCGGGAAAAAATGGAAAATTTCACAGACTTTGGAAAGTTTTCCGTTATTTTCGGGAAATTTTCAGGAATTTTTCGTGATTTTTCTGGAAAATTTTGGAAATTTCCAACCCTGGCAATATCAAGGTCCTTGGACCGAGTGCAGTACCTTGTCCGGGTCGCAGCCGGCGCGCCGCAGCGCCGCGGCCATGGAGTCGTAGTGCAGGCGGGTGAGCTCGTCCAGGTGTCGCTCCTGGAAGGCGCGGTCCGTGCAGAAGGCGATGAACATGGCGAGGTCGTGGGCGGGCGGCGAGTAGCGCGCCAGCTGGAAGTCCACGAGGCTCACCTCGACGGGATGGCCCTGCAAAAAGTGGGGGTTTTAATTTTCAAAACACAACAAAAGTCTTGGGGATTTTTTTTCTGTAATCTCTCAATTTTTTCTTAAAATGTCTCATCTTTTCCAATTTTTCTGGACACATGACAATTTTTTCCGATTTTTTTTTCTGGAAAAATAATTGCACTTTTAAAACCCCCCTACCTGCTCGTCGTCTCGGAACATGAAGTTGTTGAGCCAGACGTCGCCGTGGCACATGGTGTTGCGCACGCCGGGCCAGGCGCCCATGACGGTGAACACCTCGGCGAGGACGCCGGGCAGCGCGGCCTGCGCCTTGGCGATGGCCGCGGCGTTGCCCTTGTACTTGTCGAGGTGCGGCACGATGCCGACGCACAGTTTCATGGAGGCCCGGTGCCACGAGGCGTTGGGGTGGGCCGGGTCGCCGCTGAAGAAGGTCTCGAAGCCGAGGTCCGGGAACTGCTCGAGCAGGGTGCGGCCGCCCGCGCGCTCCTCGAGCACCAGGCCGCCGGCGTGCAGCTCGCCCAGGGCCTTCACCACCTGCGGGGACGGCGGTGGTGGTAGTGGTAGCTAGTGGGGGCCCGGGGCCAGCAGTAGAGGAGGGGCGCGGGCGGCGGCGTAAACGACATCGCTTAGACACTTATCGGCGTTGTGGTCGGACCCCCCGATGGCACTGCCAGTGACTGCCAGTCACTCAGCGCCGCCGCCATGAAGAGCCCATGGGCCTCCCCCGGAGCCGGACCCGTAACGCTAGGCAGATTGGGCCTTGAGGGGCCATTCGCAGCCCTCCCCTCTCCCTCCCCTCCCCATCCCCTGACACAGCCCACCCACTTCCCTATAAAGCTGCCGACGGCGGTCGGCCGCGCTCTTTTAGACCGTCCCCAACAACAGCCCCTTCGTATAATTGGGGCTGTCCCTCCTACCCGAATGTGAAAGTCATTTTTCCCGTTTTGATAAAAAAGGATTATTCCGAGAACCGTTATCCAGTTTCCCTGCTTCTATCTAGAGAGATATGGGCGCGCGTGCCGCTTCAGTTTTGATAAGGGATCATTTATAGAGTATACATAATCCGTCATGTCATTCGCTGTTGTTGGTGAGGCGAAAATTAGAGAAAGTTCGTTCGTTGGTTTTGTTTCATCAAATCAAGCTCAATCTCAATTTGGCCGCCTCGACCCGACACGGGGGAGACGGCGTCGCCGTAAATTAAATACGTCAATCATTGACGAGAAACCGCGATCAGGAGTCAACTCTAAAGACTAATTATTAACGGACGAGGGAAAAGAGTGTCGCAGGCGATGCGATGGACCTTGGGGGTCATTCAAATACTACGTGCTTTTTTGGGGGAGCGGGGGTGGCAAATATTATGGTGCCCTGCAGGAGTTCCGATCCATTTGGGACCCCGCATAATATTTGTATACCGTGTAGCCGGCTATGCGATGGACTTCGTTCAAATACTACGTGCCTTTTGGGGGGTACAAATATTATGGGGTCTCTATGGACTCCAATGACGTTCCTGATCATTATGGGACCCCATAATATTTGTACCC